ATACCCCCCCCCCTCCCTCAGAGCCAGCCACTCTCAGCCCCACCCCCCATTCCAATGCTCCCATCCCTCCCCCAGAGCCAAGCACCTCCAGCACCCCCACCAACCAAATCCCCCTCCTGCAGAGCCAGGCACCTGAGGGACAGTACAGGTAAGGAAATCCTGCCTTTCAAGTGCCCACTTCTGCCACCCGGCCCAGCTGCCTCAGCTCGCAGTATGTATAGGGAGGCAGCACTTGGCCCAGCTCCCAGCTCACTGCTCTATGTGTCACATAGGCCTGTGTGGCATGTGCTCCAGTCCCACCCCAGCCCGGTCTCCCTCTATCATGGCACCCGGGGGCAAATGCCCCCCCTTCTCCTCCCCACTACACCTCTGAGCTAGACCAGGGGTCTCAACGTCCCAAACCACAGGCCAGTCCCAGCATGAAGAGCCATGGGGGAAGCAGAGCACAGGAGAGTGAAGTATCCCGCCCCATGCGCTCCGATTCCCCTACAGCTCCTAGCACCATGGGCTGTGCGGGGGTTTGGATGCTGCATCTGCATAGCACCACCCACACCAGTGGTGCCCAAAACCTGTGCTCGTGGCACAGAGTGCCATGTGGAGAGAGGGTGGGTGATGGTGGGAAGAGGCAGGGCTTGGGGGCTGGTAAGAGACAGGCCTTACCCACCAGGCGTCTTGGGCCAGATTGCACAATCACACCAACCAGGACTGGCCTGCAAATCAGGAGTCTGAGTCCTCTGGACTCGACTCTGAGCATGCCGGCAAGAGCCAGCAGCCAGACATCCCGGAAAGAATTTCCTGTACTAATTCAAATCCATCCCCATCTAGTGTCCCATCACCAGCCTTTGGGGATGGTTGCTTCTAGCAGCTGTAGATCAGCTAGATGCTATTGTAGGCAGCCTCATCATACCATCCACTCCATACATTTATCAAGCTCAGTCTTGAAGCCAGTTAGGATTTTTGCTTTTACTGCTCCCCTTTCAGTTCATTAAATAAACATATTTCTGGTCAGTCTGACATTAATTTCTTTTCTGAGATACCATGCTGCCTTGTGGGAATTGTAGTTTGGGTGCATCATGCTGCCATTCTCTGCTATGGGTTCGGCTCCCTGGGTTTTCCTACATTTCCTAGGATTAGCATGATCTCTTTGGTTGAATCAATGCCGTGCATCATGGGAGTCACACTATCACAATGCACCACAGGAGATATAATCCAGCTGGAGACACGCCTGCCCATCAGAATGGATATATGGGGCACTTGAACTATAACTCCCATATGTCACTGCAGTAGCTCAGATAAACACAGTTAGCACAAACTAACCAGAAATGAATTGAAACATTTTGATTAAGGGAATGTTAAAACATCTAATTTCCACACTGAATATTTTTGGAACTTCTATAAAAATAATATTTCAACACCATAAATATAATCATTTCCTATGATACACAAATTAAGATTTTTTACTAGCTCTCATTTTTTACTTTTCACTTTTCCAAGCATCTTTGCTGTTATGCCTCTGACATTACAGTAGAAAAGTTGAGTTTTTTAAAAAAAATAAGTCTTATCCTCTCAGCCAATAAGTCTAATTAACTCCATAAAAGTTATCAAATGTGAATATATATGAGCAAATATGTTTCTATCTGAAGCCAAAGGAGGAGGACAGGCATCCTAGAGATCAGTTACCATCATGGATTGCCTCAGCACAGAAGACTATCTGAACAAGAGCTTTAAAATATGTACTTGAATCTCAGATCAGTTCTCAGGGAGGCTTTCTGAAGGAACATCTCTTTGTCAAATGGCCTGAGAGGCTAAAACCTTTTTTAAATTAATTTTAAAT